GTTGGCTTTCTTGTGATGTGATAGAACAGCGATGCTGAACTTGTGGCCCTGCAGATGTTGGAATGCAGTGCCTATGATTCCTCATTATCGCACATGAATGCTACCGCTGATGGGAACGGCAGTCCAGCAACATCTGGAGGCAGACATATGATATAGTGGGCTAAACATTCCTAATCCTTGAGCTGGCCAGGGACTACTTTATTTCATCGCATAATAGTCGCCGTCACATAATAGTCACAACTCCCCCCTTTCACTGAAAAAAGGGATAAAAAAATGCAACTATTAAGTGATGAAATAAAAAAATTGAAATGCAAAGATACAGAATGGGGGATGATGCCTGACTCGATAGCAGTATGTGTGAAAAAGATCTTGGAGTCCTCCTTGATCTAAGTCATTCATCTAAGTCATTAATAAAGATCCTGAACAGGACTGGGCCCAGGACGGAACCCTGCGGCACTCCACTCGTCACTTCTTTCCAGGATGGAGGAATTATTGGAGAGAATTACCCTCAACCAATTACAGATTCATCTAAGCATAGTTTTGCCTAGCCCACATTGGCCTAGTTTGTTTGCCAGATGGTCATGGGGATCCTTGTTGAAGGCCTTACTGAAATCCAGATACGCTACATCCACAGTCTTCTGGTCACTCTCAGGAATGCCCATCTATCTTCTCTTAATTTCTGGATGTGTTTTCCTGCATCTTCGCAGGGGGTTGGACTGGATGGCCCATGAGGTCTCTTCCAATTCTATGGCTTTATGATTCTTGTCCATTCCCATATCAGAATTATTAATAAAGTACTATGTCTCAGTTGGCTGGTCACATGATATTTCCAAGCAAAATTGTTATTCCTTCAATAAAATATTATCTATAATATATCTATTAGAGTAATAAAATACTCCACAAAAGATTAATTTTTTGCTGCAAAGTAGATCATAATATCCACCTATGGGGAAGGGGGGCTAGTCACACATCTCTAAGTAATGTGCTCTCACTTTCTTGTTGCATTTCTTGTAAAACGAAAAAGGAAAAAAGAAAGGTGCTCAGTCATTGCCTGGGAATCTTTCTCTTCCTTTCTGCACCTCTTCAAATGCCAGGTAAAAAAAGACTTAACAAGGTAATTACTGGAGGGGAAAAGGTCAATAAAAAGTTGATTTATGATGCACATGCTGGAAAAGACTTAATGCTCTCCCTCCAGAGACAGGCAATTACATTCCTCAAAAGGGAGATAGGATCTGAAGCTTCAGGGTGGCAGTTCAACATCACAGAATTCTTGACAAAAAGAAAAAAAAGAAATGAAACCATGTGGAAAATTCCAACGGCAGGATCAGAAACACCAAGGCAACACCTCAAAGCCACAAAAGATGGCCCAGGAACGAATGAAGACATTTCACTAATCGGTCCTCTACCTTTTAACCAATTATTCTTTAATGCCATGTAAGGAACCATGTAAGGAAAGCGAGGAGGAGCTGAGGAGCCTTCTAATCAAGGTGAAAGAAGAAAGCGCAAAAGCTGCGTTGCAGTTAAACATCAAAAAACCAAGATTATGGCAACAAGAACGATTGACAACTGGGAAATAGAGGGAGAAAATGTGGAGGCCGTGACAGACTTTGTATTTCTAGGCGCAAAGATTACTGCAGATGCAGACTGTGGCCAGGAAATCAGAAGATACATACTTCTTGGGAGGAGAGCAATGTCCAATCTCGATAAAATAGTAAAGAGTAGAGACATCACACTGGCAACGAAGATCCACATAGTTAAAGCAATGGTATTCCCCATAGTCACCTACGGATGTGAGAGCTGGACCATAAGGAAGGCTGAGCGAAGGAAGAGAGATGCTTTTGAACTGTGGTGCTGGAGGAAAGTGCTGAGAGTGCCTTGGACAGCAAGAAGATCCAACCAGTCCATACTTTAAGAAATAAAGCCTGACTGCTCATTGGAGGGAAGAATAGTAGAGGCCAAGATGAAGTACTTTGGCCACATCATGAGAAGAAAGGAAAGCTTAGAGAAGGCAATGATGCTGGGGAAAATGGAAGGAAAAAGGAAGAGGGGCTGACCAAGGGCAAGATGGATGGATGGTATCCTTGAAGTGACTGGACTGACCTTGAAGGAGCTGGGGGTGGTGACAGCCAACAGGGAGCTCTGGCGTGGGCTGGCCCATGAGGTCACGAAGAGTCGGAAACGACTGAACAAATGAACAACAACAAACAAGGAACCTATAGAACTACGAGAAATGCAAAGCACTTCTGGAAATCTCAACCCCTCTAGATATAAGGAAATTAAATGGGAAGAATTACACGATTTTTGTAATGTAAACATCATTCTTGTTCCTGGGTTATAAATGTCATTTCCTTATTGGTTCTATTATCAAATCATGGGGAAAAAATCATGAAACTGCAAAAACTTTGATTTGGCGAGACATCCAGCAGCACATTTTGCTATAGTTTTCCACGTAATAGCATCTGCAGTGTTTTTCAACCTGGGGGTCAGAATACAGGGGGGGGGGGTCGTGAGGAGGTTTCAGAGGGTCACCAAAGACATCAGAAATATATATTTCCAATGGTCTTAGGAACCCCTTTAGCAGAGAAGGCTGACAATCTCTCCCTCTGTCCTTCTCTTGCTTTTTGGAAACAGATGGAACTCATAACCATTGGTGACAGGAATGGCTCTCAGCAACAGATGCAGGTGAACACGAGGAAGGTTCTCAGGTTCTGGTGGTGAACTTCCCATAGGCCTTTGAGCTGAATCAGGATGACTCTCCATATTTTGTAAGATATTTCTGGCACAGGTTGAGTGGGTGGACTTGGCTGAAAAAGTTTGTAAATTGTAGCATAACTTCAGAAACCACCAGAATATTTTGAAAAGAAAAGGGCTGCTCAGAAACCATCTCTTTTTCCTTGAGGGAATGAGAGAAGAAGCAAGGCATGGCCATCACATTAGTTCTCCTCTCACCTTCTTATCTCATCCCTCGTGTCTTTCACAGCCCAGGGGCAGGGACTGTGAGTACCATTTTTTTACAAGCTAATCTGGGAGCCCTTTTTGGAGCAAAGAACAAAGTACAAATCATTTTAATAAATAAATACAAAAGTCATGCATGTTTTCTCTTATTAGATTGCTCACATGGACTTCTAAATACCCATCCTCCTGTTGGAGTCAACTGACAAAGCCAAAAACAGTTCCCAAGAGTTGTACCGGCCCTTCCAGTAAGGAACAGGGAGGGCGCCGTTAGTGGAAAAAGGAATATAATAATAATTACACATTATTTATATTTTGCCCTACCTCCCCAGGGGGACTCAGGGCGGTTCACAGTACATGGCAAACATTCAATGCCGTTTTGGAGCCAAACAGAACAAAAAGGAGGTATGCTGTGTCGACATCCAGCTTTTTGGTGCCTTGGAGGCTGTGCTCAAATCTAGCCACAGGGGGTGCTGCCACTCCATCCTCTGTGACAAAGAGCAATCAGGACTTCTTCCTTTTGGTCACTGGCCATTTTCTGATGTTTTTCTTTATGGTGTCATAAAACACCTCCCCCACTTGTTTTAGCAATACCTAATTTCTCTACTTACAGCTCAAGCTGTTATCAGACTGCTTAGGTAAACAGGGAGCTGGGCTAACAGTCGGGTGCTCGTGCCGACCCGGGGCTTCGAACTGGCAACCTTTCGGTTGGTAGGTATTATAATTGCTGGTGATTTATCAGCTGTGCTAAAGCTTGGCCCACTGAAGGAAAGTAATCCTTTGACTCCCATTGAAGGATCACTTTGGATCCAGCTGACATGGAATTAAGGCCATGCCAGGTCCAGCCATTGCAATCTCACCATTTAGCACCTTGCCATTTGCAAAGATGTCGGAAGGCCTGCTGCCCCCTGCTTTCTTCTCATCTTTCTCTTTCTCTCCCCTTATATCTGTACCCCTTTCCGTTCTCTTACTTCCTTTCCTTCTTTTTCTTTCCCCCCTTTCTTTCCCTTCTTTTCTTTCCTTCTCTCCCCCTTTCCCCAGCTCTGAGAGGGCCTACCTCACAATATCTTCCTGGCAGCATGGCTCTATTTATGGCTGTTTCCTTTCTTCCTCTCATACATATGTCCCTTTCTTTCCCAGAGGGTCACTTCACCTAGCAATAGCCTTTGTGGTACAGTCAGATACACAGATATACTTTGACATATAGCTAGATAGATTATTGATTGATAGATGTAATACAACTCCAATACCCATGGAGATGCGTCCCTGTGGTTACTAGCAAATGCTATAGAAATGAATGACTGATGGAAGCATACTATTGAATTGTGTTGGTGGGCCTAGAAAAATGCCTAGAGAGAACGTATTTTAGTTTGGACATGTGTACATGAAATCACAGGCACTGGTCCTGTGGGCACTAGGGTCATACTTGTATGACTTGCACACAGATGAGCCTGTCCACAAAGGATGGTTTGCCCAGCTCCAGAGTTATGATGTACAGTTTGTCAAACCAGGAAATGCATGTATAGAAAGGACTCGGGTATCTGAAATTACAACTTAATGACAACAGACAAACCACGCCTGAGATGTCTTTCAATATTTATGGCCAATACATTTGAACAGCCAATGTGGGGCATTGGTTTGAAAACTAGGGTTTCAATTCCTGTTCGGAATAGAAACCCAGGATTTTGCCTTAGCAGGTCACTCTCTCTCATCAGAAAGCAATCGCAAAAGCACTCTAAACAAAGCAAATCGAAAGAAAAACCTATGATAGTTTCAGCTTAGGGTCACGCAACTTAAAAGCACACGACAACATCAAATTTAAATGATCGGCCTATTTCAAGCAGTCCTTATCTGGATGCCTTTCACAATAATGAATGAACCGTGGAGTATTTATTTAATAAATAAATGTATTTAATAAATATTTACTAAATAAATTACTGCTATTTAAGACTCAATACAGAAATGATGAACCTTTTTACCATCTAAAAACAGTAATAGACCAGAATCAGAGTAAGGTACACACACACGCACACACACCTTATACTTACCTCCACTGAGGAGCTTCATCACTAGCCAAAGTTCATCTTTCACTACAAAGGAGGTATAGTAAGAAACGATGTTTGGATGATGGCACTGGCTCATGGCTTGAATTTCTTTCTAGAGGGGGAAAAAGGCAGAAAAGTTATTCTTATTCTGCCATATGGGAAGAGGCAGAATGATGAAGAGAGCTGAAAGGAAGAAAATTAACACATTTGAAATGCAGAGCTAGAGGAGAGTTCTACCGATACCCTGATGGCTGAAAAGACACATATATAGGTCCTAGAGCAGTGGTTCCCAACCTGTGGTCCATGGATCACCAATGGTCTCCAAGAACTAAAATATGGTCTGCAGTCTCACCGTTACTACACTGTTGCAACGAGAGCAACTAGTCTTGCAAACCCTCTTATAGTGCCGAGGCACTGGGGATGTCTGGAGGAGAGAAGCTCATTACCCACAACAAGTCTCCTGACTGCTGCATCTCCTCCTTCTCCCTCCCTGGAAGTGGGGCACCTTGGTGTCTTCGTTTTTAGGCCTGTTCCTGAGGTTATTTGGGGTGCTGATTCAGAAAATTGTATTGGATAGACCACGTCAGCTGCCAGGAATGTGATGTGGCAGCCTGGATCCAAGGAAGTCATGCTACCCCTCTGTTCTACCTTGCTCAGACCACACCTGGAATCACACTGTGTATAATTCTGGGCACCACAATTGAAGGGAGATGTTGACTCTAAGCTGGAAAGTGTCCAGATGAGGGCAAGTAAAATGATCAAGGGTCTGGAGAACAAGTCCTATGTGGAGCGGCTTAAAGAGCTGGGCAAGTTTAGCCTGCAGAAGAGAAGGCGGAGAGGAGACATGACAAGGGCCATGTATAAATATTACAGAGAAAGGATTCCCCGGAGTACAAGGACTTACAAACTTTGATTCGTTGTTTATAAACTTTGGGTTTAAAAAGGACTTACAAACTTTGATTCATTGGATTGGATTTACAATCTGTGATTTACATATCCCTCCATGTGGAACATGAACCTTGTATGATATTGGACTCACAAACCTTGATTATTAGAGAGATGCCTTCTATGAGTATGTTTGTTTGTAATACATTGATAATACATTGGCCATCTGTCGGGGGTGCTTTGAATGTGATTTTCCTGTTTCTTGGCAGAATGGGGTTGGGCTGGATGGCCCATGAGGTCTCTTCCAACACTAAGATTCCTTTTTTCAAAGTGCTGGTGTTAACCTATAAAGCCCTAAACTACTCCGGCCCTGTTTACTTCTCCGAACGTATTCTCCCCTATGAACCATCAAGATTATTAAGATCATCTGGAGAGGCCCTGCTCTCGGTCCCACCGGCCTCAAAAGCGTGTCTGGTGGGGACGAGGGACAGGGCCTTCTCGGTGGTGGCCCCTCGACTCTGGAACTCTCTCCCACAGGAGATCAGAACCGCCCCGTCTATCCTGACATTTAGGAAACAGGTGAAGACGTGGCTATGGAGACAGGCATTCGATGAGTGAGCAAATACCCGGAGATTGGATGGAGGATGATGAACATCAAATTTAGTGGGACGACTGACCATTGTATTAATTGAATGTAATTGCTGTTTTGCAGTTTTAATGTTTTTAATGTTTTATTGTAATATGAAGTATGATGTTTACTGACTGTATGTATTTTATGGTTGGAAACCGGTCTGAGTCCCTCAAGAGAGGTGAGAAGGTCGGTATATAAAACTTTTAAATAAATAAATAATAAATAAGATTCTATGATTCTATTACAATATTGTTGTTGTTGTTCTATGCTATCATATGATCCAGTCCAAAGAGGATAATCTGGATTTTATATGGCAATGTAAATCAGATTTAGCATAATATTTTTAAGAGAATACAATGGGGTGAGGTGGGGAGGAGAGAGCTATACCATCATAAACCCCTCGAAAGAAAATTGTGTTATAAACACAATAAAACAAACCATTTACATTTCAAAGTGCATGCCTGGGTTGACAAGTGACATGAGAATAATAATACTTGACTACCACACACTTATTCTGGGAATGGGCAAAGACATCATGCGCCTATTAGGGGGGGGAAAGACACTTAGCGATCTGCATGAAGTTGATTCCATAAGGGGAGATGCACAAAAAAAAGTGTCCATAAAACAGAGTGGTAAGGTCATGAATCATTAATGAGGAGGATGCTGCTTTCCATTATTTCTCGAGGAGCAATGGAAACAAAAACACACAGTAAGAGTTTTAAGAGCTCTACCATGGACTTTTCGACATAAAAGGATGCTCAGGAATCCTTGCCGAGATCCTCAGAACTACTTTGGCTGATCTTTGCAAACTAATGAGGACTGCAACAGGGCACATGTCTGCTTAATCTGATACATCATCCATCTCACATGGCAAATTAGCACAACCAATTATGAAAATATATATACTGAACAATAACTTCTGTGAATTCTGTATTCACTTCAGAAACCCGCATCCAGCTGGGTGGACAAAATACTGAAGATTCGTATCATAGTCCTTTGACAGTAATTTTTTTTCTCTCTCTCTGAAAGCATCCACATGTTGTCTGTATGCTGAATGAGAAATGGATTGAACGGGAAATGAAAACTAAATTGGGTAGAGCTAAGAGCTCATCTCCAAGAGCAAATGGGCAAAATGGACAGGCTATTGTGGCAACCAACAACAAGAAGACGCATCTACGGTGAGAGATTGAGTGCATCTATGCTGTGGAATTAATGCACTTCGGCAGCATTTTAATTTCTCTGGCTCAATCCTACAGCATCCTGGGATTTGTAGTTTTACAAGGTCTTTAGTCATCTCTGCAAAAAGAGGGCTGGTAACAGATCAGATTTCATTTCCCATAATTCCATAGTATTGAGCCATGGAAGTTAAACTGCATTAATTCTACAGTGTAGATCAGGTATAGGCAAACTATCAGCCATTAGGAATTGTGGGAGTTGGAGCCCAAAACACCTGGAGGGCTGAAGTTTGCCCATGCCTAGTGTAGATGAATCCATTGTCTCACTGATCCTTAGTCAAATGGTACCAAAACAGCTCCTCCAGCTGTTTTGGATCTCAAATCGCAGAATTCCCAGCCGGCTTGGCCAACAGTCCAGAAATCTGGGAACTGAAGTCAGGAAGATCAAAGTTAGGAAGTGTGGGAGTTGGAGTCTAAAACATCTGGAGGGCTGAAGTTTGCCCATGTCAAGTGTAGATGAATCCATCGTCTCACTGACCCTTAGTCAAATGGTACCAAACGTTGCTCCTCCATCTGTTTTGGATCTCAAATCGCAGAATTCCCAGCCAGCTCGGCCAACAGTCCAGAAATATGGGAACTGAAGTCCAAAACATCAGGAAGATCAAAGTTTGGGAAACACTGGCCTACATAATCGAATACTATTTTCCATAAGTAGCAGTGGCCTTTGCGAAGCCCCCGGTGGCGCAGTGGGTTAAACCCCTGTGCCAGCAGGACTGAAGACCAACCGGTCACAGGTTCGAATCTGGGGAGAGCGCGGATGGGCTCCCTCTATCAGCTCCAGCTCCTCATGCAGGGACATGAGCCTCCCACAAGGATGGTAAAACATCCGGGCGTCCCCTGGGCAACGTCCTTGCAGACAGCCAATTCTCTCACACCAGAAGAGACTTGCAGTTTCTCAAGTTGCTCCTGACACGACAAAAAAAGTAGCCTTTGCTGAGATATTCCCCACCAAGACTTAATATCTATTTTCTTTTACTATGTAACATTTAGAGCAGAGCTTTCCAAACATTTCATGTTGGTGACAACACCTTTCTGACATGCATCGTTTTTGCAACAGAGTAATTCAATTTTAAAGTGGATACAACTGATTTTAATGTTTGTATATATTTATACTTTGTTGTTATTCTGGCATTGAATGTTTGCCATATTTGTGGTGTGTTTCAACCTGAGTCCCCTTCAGGGTGAGAAGGGAGGAATATAAATGCTTTAAATAAATAAAAAATAATAAATAAATCAGAAGTTAAACCAACCCCTTAAAATTTATACAGACACATAAATAAATCATAATAGTGACATGTATGGGGATACAACGTAACTCATGAAAATCTTTCACGTATATTTTTTAAAGTATACAATTTCTTGCTTATTTCACATAGACTAGTTACATTTGTGCAGCACACCCACACACTACAGCTGATTCACTAAAGTGCAGCAACATGTAGTTTGGAGTTTAGAGTATTTCATTATCCTCAATAATCCTTATATCAATGTATTGTCAAAGGCTTTCATGGCTGGAATCACTGGGTTGTTGTAGGTTTTTCGGGCTGTATGGCCATGTTCTAGAAGCATTCTCTCCTGACATTTCGCCTGTATCTGTGGCAGGCATCTTCACAATCTCTGAGGAGGGCTGCCACAGATGCAGGCAAAACGTCAGGAGATAATGCTTCTAGAACATGGCCATTCAGCCCAAAAAACCTACAACAACCCAATCCTTGCATCAGTTTTCCTAAATTTTACATTGGCAATGTTCTTTTCCAAGTTCACGAACTCATCCTGAAAAAGCACCTCCAAAAATGGTTATGTAGGAGAATTTTCGATCCCAAAAGGAAAGTATATGCCTTTCTCTCTTCTAAATTATCCTTTTTACTTAAGGAGACATTGAACCAATGAATGAGTGGTGTAGGAAGTGAGCAATAGTTTGTGCATTCAACTATGACTTTGGAGACCAGGGTCTGGATCCCTGCTTGGACATGGAAAGCCACTGGGTGACCTTGGGCAAGTCACACTCATTCTCAATGTGAAAGCCCTTCTGTCCCTTGACAAGAAAATGTTTGGTGTAGAGAAGAGCAAAAGGCAAATGTAGAACGTGGCTTCATAGCAGGGAGTCACTGCTTTCTCTTTTTCCCTCTCTCTAGATGCTGAGGCTCAGATATAATAAGAGCCGACATCAGCCCACAGAGTAATTAAGACTGCTCAGTTTTAAGTTTGGACGTCTGCATCCCGGGGAGTCAATTCTGCACAATGCAACAACTGCTCCATAAAATACCTTTCCCCTATCTAGAAGTGAAAAGGATTTTCAAAACATATTGGATTTTTAAAGTGTTTTAAGTGTTGGCAAACTGTGCCAAGGAGAATCCTGGA